ACGGCTTGCTCTTTCTCTATCTATCATCCTGCACTCTCCTTGGGCTGCTGCTCTGTCCCCAGACTGCTGAGGGCAGGAGGAGCAGGGGAGGGAGGGGCAGGGCAGGAGGAAGGAGCAAGCCAGTTAGATGGGTTTCTGGCCCTCCGAGCTCCGGTCGCCCCCCTGACAGCCCTAGCGAGCCGTGCTCCTCACCCACGTCCTCACCCCTGCCTGCCCGTGCCCAGGGAGGCCGCCCCCGCGGACCCCGTGTTAGAGGCAGGGAGGCTGAGCTCAGGGGTTTAGGGGCCTGTTGGAGGCCGCACGGCTGGCACAGTGTACAGAACGGAGCGCCAGGGTCTCTGGTTCTGATCAGCACCCCATCCGGACAGAGTCCCTGCTGAGCGGAGACCCCAAAAGAGGGCCAGGTCTCTGCGTCTGGGTCCTTGCCAAGCGCAGGAACCGCAGAGAGACCATAGCAAACTCTGGGTGCTACTTTCCAGGGGCCTGGAGGAGGAGGGCAGCCAAGCCGGGCAGGGAGGTGGCAGCACGGGCCGCTCGGCCCTGTGGCGGCCAGCGGGAGGGACCTGCAGAGGTCACACAGGTGGCCGGTCCTGGAAGGCCCCCTTCCAGGATGCTCTGTAGGACCCCGAAGCAGCCGCGGGCCCACATACCCACCCTTAGCCAGGCTTGCCTGGAGCGGGGCCAGCACAGAGCAGAGGAGGGGAGAGGCAGATTCAGGGTGTGGTCTGTTTTCTTAACTCTGCTTCTGTCTCGCTCCCTGCCCCGCCCTGGCTTCCATCCATCTCTGCCTGCTCCTGTCTCTCCCTGGGTTTCTGGTGGTGGAAAAGCTCAAGTCTTTGCGAAGCTAATGACCTGCCTCTGTGCGAAGCTTACTGGAGGCTGGACCTCGACACAGACTCTGCTGATGGCCTCTCAGCCCCTGTGTTGGCGTCTCCGGAGCCCAGCGCTGGCCCTCTGCAGGCTGCAGCCCCTGCCCACTCCCATGCCACTGGCCCCTGCCCCACAGAGCATGCCTGAGCCTCCCAGGGCTCCCCTTCCTGCACCCCTAGGTTCTTAAATCTGGTGTGGTCTCCTTGGAACCTTTAGCCCAGGGACAGCACCCCCCAGAGTGTTGGGGGAAAGTATTTCCGTCGAACGTTTCCAAGGTAGCCCATCCTTCTGAGATGTCACCCCTGTTCACTGCCCACCTGGCCTGCTGGGCAGACATTTCCTGGACAGTGTGTCCAGGCCAGTCGCGGGGCCAGAGGATGTCCTGCTCTGTAAAAGCCACTGGGTGGCGCTCAGAGTGGACGGTACCAGCCAAGTCCAGACTCCACCCTCGGGCCTCCTATGCAGAGATGCACCTGCTGCTTTGTTCTGCAGGTCCCTTTTAGCTGACCGTCCCCGCAGGGCTGTGGCGGGGAGAGGGATGCTGAGGGCAAGGGACCTTCCTCATTCTGCCACACACATCCTGGTGGTTTTTGTAATGAGACCGTTGAATAAAAACACTGCCGTTTTGCATCAGGTGGCTCGTTCTTGCTGGTCCTGGGCCGGTCTGGGACCAGCACTGGTTTCCCACTGGCAGTGGGGAGAACGGCTGCTGGGCTCTGCCTGGACAGCCTTGGGCTGCAGGTGAGCCTTCTACCCAGATGGTCTCTGGGCAACAGAGCTAATGGCTGCATTCCCGTCGCCTAGAACTGCCTGAGAGCTAGGAAGTCCTCAGTCTTAGGTGACTGAACAAAATCTTCTGCCGTCATTGCATGTTACAAGGTCCGGGCACCTGTACTTCTGGTCCCATCTAGTCCTCGCCAGACCAGGTGTCGGTGCTGCTGTTACCTGCGCTACAGGGACAGGTGGCCACGGGCTTGGAAGGGGTTGGAGTGTTGTGTCCGCAGCCGCTGAGCCGGGAAGGGAAGCAGCAGAAATCAGGACTCAATGCAGATGGAATGCTAGGCCCAGTGCCTGGGTGCCAGGCTCCCCGGAGAAAGGGGAGGGTCACATCAGAAGGACGGGGTTTCAGGCCCGTGCCCTGTCACCGGTATGCCTCCTCACGAGGGACACTGCAGTTGGTCTACGGAGGAGGTGGCAGCATACAGTCCAGTCTCAGGGACAGGGAGGTACACCAGCTGAACGGCGGTGGGTGCCAGAGACCCCTGTGGCCAAGCAGGGGTACCGCACAGGTGGGAGCCTGGGGCCCAGCCCTGGCTCTGGCCCTGGTTTTCTAGGGTGCCCTGGGGAAGGCTCCCCATCGAGAAGACAGGTGATGATCTATTCTGCAATACCCTCATTGCAGAAATAACTTGTACTTGACACTGATAAAGAAAAAAAGGACTATGACCAACGGAAGCACGTGTGGGAAGAAGGCTAGAAGGGGTGGGCCAGATTGAATGGTGGGGTTCTGATTCTCTTCAGTTTCAAAACGTGAGCCCCAGAACCTCTGCACCAGCGGTGCTCTGCTCTCCTGGGCTTAGACTGCGGTTCCCACCGGAAAGTGGATCCCCCCTCCTACAGCAAGGCCGCACACCACCGCCGCCTCCTCTCCGGCCCACAGCCCTGGCAGCAGACCTCACTGGAGAAATGGGCTTTTTGTTTCCAGTGCTCTCTGGAGCCTGCTTCAGGCCGGTTTCATCTCCACGACCCTGGCCAAGCTGTGTATTAAGGTCCCCAGTGGCCCGAGTCGCTAAAGCCTAGTCAGCCCTCAGCCCCTTACTGCCTTTGTATCCCAGGCCTTTTATTCCAAGAACGTTCAACCCCCTGGCAAAAGTTATGAAAGCCGTATAAAGACCACCCATGCAGGTGCTTTTCTGGATTCACCTCTTGCACCTCTGCTTGCTCTCTCATCTATAAAAACCACCTGAACGTCAGCTGCAGACCTCAGGACACCACCCCTAAATGCTGGTCAGCTCGCCCCTCCAGGAAAAGCAACTCTCCATGGCCCTACACCAGCATCAGGCCCCACATGACAATTATCCCATAATATCATCTAGTATCATGACACGTTTTTATTTTCTTTAATGTTTACTTTGAGAGAGAGTGGGTGACAGGAAGAAGAGAGAGAATCCCAAGCAGGCTCTGTGCTGTCAGCATAGAGCCTGACATGGGGCTGGATCTCAAGAACGGTGAGATCATGACCTGAGCCCAAACTGAGTCCCATGCTTAACCTGACTGAGCCCCCCAGGTGCCTCTTGTGACACATTCTAACTTCCCTAATTGTTCTCCAAGTGTTGTTTATTTTTGAACGTTTATTTTCACAGAGCAAGTGTGGCGGGGGGGGGGGGGGGGGGGGGGGGGGGGGGGGGGTGTAGACAGGGAGGCAAATGATCCAAAATGGGGTCTGCACTTGAACTCACGAACTTCGGGATCGCGACCTGAGCCGAAGTTGGCCACCTAACTGACTGAGCCCCCCAGGCGCCCCTCCAAATGTCTTTTTATATCCATCTTCATCTTGCATTGCAATTAGTCACTATTCTTATAGCCTTTTGAAATCTAGAGCAGGATCATGGTCTGGAATGGGTCAAGTACAGTTCCGGATATACTTTGAAGGGAGAGCCAACAGAATTCGCCCAAGGACTGGAGGTAGGGAATGGGGGGGGTGGGGTAGGGTGGTCTCAAGGTCTGACTACTGTGCCTGGAAGCAGGGAGTGGCCTTAACTGCGACAGAAGGCAGGCAGTGGGGGGAGGTGGGGTTGGGAGAGGCCAGGACTCCGGTTTCATACATGCCCATGACGAGGGGTGTCGTGGCCAAACGTGGGCCTGAAGTTCAGGGGAGTCATCAGCACCGAGGCACGAGCTCTGAAGGGGTCACTGCATGTTGAGAGTTAACAGAAAAGGGAAACGAGCCCAGGGAAGAGAGGGTACGTGTGGAGGAGGAAGGCCTGCTGCCTGGGGTCCCTGAAGCCGTGTGAAGACAGGGTTTCAGGGAGAAGGTAGAATCCGCAGGTCAAACCCTCCAGAAAACTCTCAGGGAAAAAGTAACTTAAAATTAGTAAGGCCCGTGAGTCAAGATTTGCACTCAGAGCTCCCTGCCCTTTGGCAACTCTGCTGGCATCGACCACCTCCTGTGCAGACAGGACCTCAGCAAAGCCTCAAAACCCCCCCCCCCCCCCCGGAGATGGTGACGCAGGACGGAGAACCCTGGACTCCGGTGTGGACTGAAGAGGACACACCACCTCCCTCCCCTCCTACATCCCTGTCCCTTCGGTGCCTCTGGCTTTGATGGTTAAAACGGACGGTGCCAGGAAGGATACGATGACGGCTCAGGGAGCGTCCTGTGTAGACTTCGGCCTGCACCGAAAATCTACCGGGGGGGGGGGGGGCAGGAGGCCATCCTCTCTTCAAAACGTCACCTCACAGCAGAGATCACGGGCAGAAAGTCAAATTCTTAGTGCTCCGCCGGAAACCTTTTCAAATAGCTTTTGAAACTGTAGTTTATAAATCCAAGTGCCGGCCCCCTCCCTCCCCTGAGGAATAAGGCCTCCCCTACTCACCCCAAGGCAGCCCTTAAAGGGCTGGGTGTTGTGACAAAGCCTGTCCGTGCCGCGAATTAAGGAACGGGGTGCCAGTGTCTCCAACCCCAGGCGGGACACTCCCCTCCCTCCCCTCGTGAGTTACGCGACAAGCCTTGTCCTAAATCTTAGCCTGTGACTGCGCTGCCCAGAGCAAAGACCCCAGTGGGTCTCCCCGGAGCGCCTCAGCATCCTTCCTCCCGACGCCGCGTGCCTCCTCCCGGACCTTCCTCCCCGGCACTCCCCGTGGCCCGACTCGTCCTGCGCTTGCCTGCCGTATAGCCAGTGCCGGGGGCGGGGGGGGGGGGGGGGCGCAGAGGCCGGAAAGCTAGGGCGCCAACGCCGCGCCGCCCGCGGGAAGAGGCCGGGGGCCACGGAAGCCGCCCAGGGCCCACAATGCTTTGCGCCCCGCCCCGCGCGCCTCTTCCGGCGGAGCCAGGCCTAGCTAGTCAAGCTCCGCGCGCTGGCGGCTCGGCGCTCGGCCGGCGGCGCCTGCGCACGCGCGGTGTCCGGCGGGGGTCGTGCGGCGGCGCTGTGAGGGTGGCGTGGTGCGCGGGTCGCGTGCCTACCTCCTAGGGGGTCCCGAGACCCCCGCGGCCATGGCCTCCCTGCTCGCCAAGGACGCCTACCTGCAGGGTCTGGCCAGGAAGATCTGCTCCCGGCCCAGCCCGGAGCCGCAGACACGCAAGTCCGGTAAAGCGCAGCCGGGGGTCGGGCCTGGGAGGACGCGGGGTGGGGAGCGCCCCTGCGGGTGTCCCCCACACCGCACCCCGCAGCCTTCGTGTGGGTGAGACGCGTGGATCCGTGAAACAAGCCTGTAAGATGGTGGAAAGACGCGGGGTGTTTAAAGAGGCCGCTGTTTCCCTGCTTGTGGGCATCGACCGCCGGGGGTGCAGGGGAAGCAGCTGCATCCGCTCACGGGACAGGAGGTGACCCGATGGAATGCGGGACGTAGGGAGAGGCCGGCAACGGGACGGCTCTTGCCAGTGCGGGGTGACCGGGAAGTCTGCACAACAGGGAGAAACAGAGGTTGGAATGTGAGCGCTGCCTGGGCCCCCAGAGGAGAGCTGCAGCTGGACCGAGAACGGCCTTCTGTTTGCGTGCGAGGCCAACTTACCGATCACGGGAAGTTAGAAACCTTAGGTGTCCTTAGCCCTGGGCCGTAACTTTACGGGTTAAAAAATTAATTTTTCCTTTGTGGGCCTGTCTCACGAAGCGTTAAGACGCTTTGTTTCACACTCAGTGTATTTGTTTTATTAGTACAAACGTAAATATTTCTTGATTCTTTAAAATATAAAAGCCTGAGCCCTCATTTTTGACAGCCAGGCAGTGCTTTGTCATGTGGCGGTGTCATAGCTTGTCCTCGTAGGCGAGTATTCAGGTTTCCCTAGTTTTTCCCTGAGACAGCCTTCTGATGAACATCTTTGAGGTCAAACCTTGGTGCATAACCGGGATGGATTCTCACAAGCAGACTGCTGGGTCAGGTGTGGATGTCTTACAGGGTTTTGATGTGTGTGGCCAGTCTCCTTTCTAGGGTTTGTGGGTCTGAGGTCTACAGGAGGATGGGGGTCTCTCCGTGCTCCTTCCTGATTTGCTCCCAGGATCCTTCTGGGGTTAAAGTCTTTGCAGAACGTTCATGCCAGTTGGACAGGTCACAAAGGTTGGGACTGCAGCCCTTTATGATTTTGTATTTCAGGCAGCAAAACTCAAGGCTCAGAAGCTTCTGGGCCCCCAAAGAAGAAGAGGAAGAAGGCGCAGAAGAAATCCCAGGAGAGGGAGAAGAAGCCTGTGGAGCCAAAGGCCCAACCCCTTGGGGAGAAGTCTTCTCCTCCAGCAGCCAAGGAGGAAGAGGCCTTCACCTCCACGGGGTCCCCTGCAGGGGGCGATGTGGGCCAGGGCCAGCTGAGATCAGGTGAAAACATGGTCCTCTTTGGACTTGAGAAAATACGGTGTCGTGCATGTTTCTGGGGTAGTTTGAGACTTTCCAGAGAGTGGGTTTTCGAGGGACAGATCCCAGGAAATACATGATGGTTCCAGGCTGTTTGGCACTGGGGTCTGGAGAGGGGCAGGGTCGTGTTCCCCTGAGGACCTTGCCCTGAGGAGCCCTCACTGCCTGCAAGTGTCTGAAGTGGCATCATGGGAGCTGACCTGTTGGGAGAGGTGGGGAAGCCCAGCCTGCAGGACTTGGAAGACATGAGAGAGGGGTTTGTCTTGACCCATCGGAAGTATTTGGTTACAGCAGGCGGGGGTGTTCTGTCCTGGGGGCCCGTCCAGCTTGGTGAGTGGAGAGCAGTATTTACTAGAACTTGGGGCAGTTGGGGGGAGGTGCTCAGCTTTGAAGGTGGGCGTTGAGAAGAGGGACGGGAAGGTCAGGCAGGGGGTTTAGTCTTAGCTCTCCACCTCTTTCCTTACAGATGTCAGTGTCACAGAGCCCGACTCTCTGTTTGCCTTGGATGTTCTGCGGCAGCGGCTGCATGAAAAAATACAGGCGGCCCAGGGCCAGGTAAGTCGGGGAGGCCGCTGGGGCGCGGGGAGCACTGTAGTTTTCTGCAGTGGCCTCCCTGCTCTGCGTGGAGGAGGAGGTGCCTTCGTGCCCTTTGTGGCCTTGGTTCTCTGCTCCTCCAGCCATTGTGGGGCTGACAGGAGGGGCCCCAACTGCCCTTCCCACCCCTGCAGCAGGTCTTGCTGGGGCCTTGGCGGTTTTGATTGGCAGGAGATGAGGTGTGGTTCCTGGCCCTGAGCCTCAGTTCCCACAGTCAGCCGTCTTGTCTGGGCTGTGCCACGCTGCAGGTTCTCGTGACCTTGGAGAGAGGCTCAGTCTCTTCCCTCTAAGAAGCTGCCTTCGCTGGACCCTATACCGGCCAGCACTGCATCCTCCTAAGCGTCACGGTCGCCCTGCGAGGTAGTGGGGGCCTGCGATGCGGTGACCACCACAGGAAGCACCGGACCTGAACCCTCTTGGGCTCTTTGTGCCGAGTGGCATAGTCCTTCCGCTTAGCCACCGCCTGCCCTTTGCCTTGGGACGTCCCTTGGGCCTCTTGCTGTGTGGGACAATCTCCCAGCTTCTTTTGCAGTGCCCTGGGACAGGCCTGGGGACCTTTCCTAAGGGGCAGCCCGAGCTCCGGCCCGGCCTTCCCACGTCCAGGTCTGGGTCAGCGTGGTCTAGAGTTCTTTTACTGGCCTCCAGACGGCAAAGGCCGTCGGTGAGAGCAGAGGTCAGCCGAGTCCTCAGCAAAGCAGCGCCATGGTCAGCACGAGCGCTGAGTGTTCTCATCTGATGCCAAGTCCCGGACAGTGTCCTCGGCTAGGCCCGTCCTTCTCGTCTGCTGAGCGATGGAGGGCACCTCCCGTGTGGGTTGTTTGTCAAGGGCCCTGGTGCGACGTCAGGCTCAGGAACTGGAAGCTGTGGTTCCTACTCGGGGGTCCTCGTGTCCTTTTTGGGGTCCCTTGTGTTCCGGGTGACAGGTGGTCTCCCGAGGGAACGCTGACCTCAGCAAGCAGCTTGTGCACAAGAGTTCCCTCAGCCGCTTTCCTGCCCGGGTTCCACGTCCCAGGCCGGGGGCTCCGGAGTTGAGAGCACCGCGTGAGGGAGCTCTGCTCTCCTCCTGCAGGGCAGCCCCGCGGAGCCGTCTCCCGCCGCCCTGGAGAAAAGACGCCGGAGGAAGCAGGAGCGGGACCGGAAGAAGAGGAAGCGGAGGGAACTGAGGGCAAAGGAGAAGGCGGCAGAGGCTGCGGAGGCTGGCGAGCCCCCCCGCCAGGCGCCCCAAGAGCAGGCGCGGCCCGGGCTGCTCTTCAATAGGGTGAGAGGCGGGTGCGGCCCTGGGGTCTCGCCCCCCACCCCATGTCCCGAGGCTGCCCAGCCGCGGAGGAGGTGGGTGGCCGCGGTGCCTGCCCGCGGGGGTGGGGGGTGCTTGCAGGGCCCGGCGGGAGAGGCGCAAGGGGAGCCGCCGCTCACCGGGTCGCCGCCGGCGCTCCCCAGGTGGAGGTGCCTGCCGAGGCGCCGGCGGGCAAGGCCCAGCGCAGGAAGGAGAAGAGGCAGAAGCTGAAGGGGAAGCTGACGCCGCTGACGGGGAAGAACTTCCGGCAGCTGCTGGAGCGCCTGCAGGCGCGGCGGGACCGGCTGGAGGCGCTGCGGGGCCAGGACGAGGGGAAGGCGCGGGAGCTGGAGGCCAAGGAGCGGTGGACCCACGCGCTGTACAAGGCCGAGGGCGTGCGCGTCCGGGACGACGAGCGCCTGCTGCGGGAGGCCCTGAGGCGCAAAGAGAAGCGGCGGGCGCAGCGCGCGCGCAGGTGGGAGAAGCGCTCGGCCCTCGTGGTGCAGCAGATGCAGCGGCGGCAGGACAGGCGGCGGCAGAACCTGCGCCAGAAGAAGGCGGCCCGGGCCGCGCGGCGCCTGGACAGGGCGCGCAGGAAGGGCCGGATCCTGCCCCAGGACCTGGAGCGGGCCGGCCTGGCGTGAGGGGACCCCCCCCCGCCCCGCGGCCCCCCAGGCTCCTGGCGCGCTCAGCCCCCACAGCGCGGGCTCTGTCGACTCAGCTGGCGAGCACAAGCAGCGGGGGTCCAGAACGGAGGCCCACGGCCACCAGCCCCGGTAAGGGGTGACTGCGCCCGGGTTCCAGCCTCAGGAGGCCGTAAATCTCCCCAGAAGTTTGCAGGGGGAGCGGCGTGGAGGGCGTGAGTCTGCTGGGGGGTGGGGGGCACCTCCCGGGCTCACAGGAGCAGGGAGGGGATGGCCTTGGGGGGGCTGCCTGTGTCAGTGCAGTACTCACATGGACGGCAGGAAACTTGAACCCCTGTAGCCCAAGCCAGAGGTGGAATCGGTCTCCAGTGATCGGCAGAAGGTAGAGCTGCCCTCGGTGTGGCCGGAAGGGAATTTTCCAGAATTTACTTGTAAGACGGGCAAAAGCGAGCGCTTAGATGAACACATACATTGAAAGTCTGAAGGTGCCCGCTGGAAGATGCGCACACAAGGCTAGAGGCGGAGATGGGTGAGCAGGGAGATGAAGGAAGAATTGCAGCCTGGACTCCACGAGGGAAATGAAAGGTGCCTGGTACAGCCGCCGGACTCCACGCACCCTTGCGGGTGGGCAGAACAGGTGCAGACGCGCAAGATGTGGGGGTGGGGGGAAGGCAGGTCATGGCACATAGGTCGTGTTCGGCAAAGCTGTTGATAAAACTCTTCTGACCGGAGCTCCAGTTAGGAAACAGACCGCAAAAGGGCACCTGGGTGGCTCATGACGGAGCTAAGTGTCCAACTTTTGATTTGGGCTCAGGTTATGAAATCCTGGTTTGTGAGTTCTAGCCTCAAGTGAGGCTCCGCGCTGGCAGCGTGGAGCCTTCCTGGGGTTCTGTCTCCTCTTCCTCTGCTTGTGGTGTTTGTTTGTCTGTTTCTTTCTTAAAGGCAGATTTTTTTTTTTTTAATTTTTTTTTCCTGAGAGACAGCATGAGCAGGGGAGGGTCAGAGAGAGAGGGAGACACAGAGTCCAAAACAGGCTCCAACCCACGAACCGTGAGATCGTGACCTGAGCTGAAGTCGGACGCTTAACTGAATAAGCCACCCAGGTGCCCTTGTCTGTCTCTTTCAAAATAAACGTAAAAGAGCACACATAACAGACTAACGGAAAGGCTGGTGGGGTGGAACTGGGCAGAGCCGACTTAAGAACAGATGGCACCGTGACGGGTGAAGAGCGGCCCCACCTGACAGAGGGGCTCTGACAACCCCAGGACTGGAGCTTCAGGTCTGCCCAGAGCGGGAGATTTCAGACTCCCTTCCTAGGCCTGGAAACAGCGGGCAGAACTCAGGCAGATACCGAAGGTCTGGAAGAGAGTCGTGAGCTTGATCTAGGGACACCCAGCAGCGCGTCTGGAAACGCACACCCTGCGCACATCTGAAGCAGCAACGAGAACTGAGCATCTGGTCTGTAAAAAATGTTTTCCGTTTTACAGAGTCGGTGCCCCACCAGCTGTGGCTTCTGGGCCACGGTCGGTTTCGTTGTTAAAGCCCAGAGGTGGTCGGAGTGTCACGTTTGGGAGTTTAAGAACACTCTCAAGTTTCTGCTTTGATTTATTTTGTTTTTCATGTGTGTCCTGATGTTGGTCGGTCACCTCTAGGCCTGTGCCCGGCCAGGTGGGCTCCAGGAAGGGGCTCCCCAGTCACCGGCTCCCAGCCGAGTGGGAGAAGGCCTTGGCCAAGCTCTGCAAGCGCAGGGACCACAGAATTTAAAGGGGCAGGTCTGGCCTTTCCTGGATCAACAAGAGTATCCAGGCAGGGGTGTGGGGGTGTGGGGCAGCAGCTCCAGCTTTACCCTTGTCTGCCAGTCTGGTTGTGTGTGAAGAAGTGTTCCTTGCTGTCACCCATGTTGGGTTTGATTGTGTCACTGCCTGGCTTCCAGCCTGTGGGACAGTCTTCATGCCCATCCACGTACCGGAAGTCCCGGACCAGCCTCAGAGCTTAGTCCAGCGAGCGCCCCACAGGCAGATCATTGACCGTGACCTGGGGAAGAACACCCTTGCCGTCGATGATAAAGAGGCCCTGTAGGCAATGCCCTCCTCTTCCTTCAGCTCGCCATAATCGTCAGGCGACAGGCTTCTGGTTATATCAGCCAGCAGGGGGGTGTTCAGGGGTGGTTGTGGGGGACGGAGCCTGACTCCCAGGTGTCCATGCCGAGAGTGTGTCCTGGGGCAGGTGACAGCAGGAGCAGCTGGCCCAGGGACAATAGTGGGCGATGTGACGGGAGCAAGAGGGAAGGAAAGGGAAACACCCAGGATGAGTCTGGGAGGCCCGGGAGACCCCTGTTGGGCGTTGGTGCTTCCGGAGAAAACTTCCAAGGGCCTAACGTCAGGAACGTTAACAGAACCAAGTGGTGGAAGCCTCCGGAAGGCAAAGTCCCCCTCCTGGGGTGGAGGGGATTGGATGAAGGTTGCCCCAAGCGGAACGCCTACCCAGGAACTCCCGAAGGTCATGCTGGTGGGAAAAGGAATAAAGGGAGAAACTTACTGAAGTGGACTCAAGAGGCCAGAAAGCAGCGTGCTCGTGCAGTGTGCCGCCTGGAGCCCGTTGTGGGAGGAATTGTCACCCGACAGGAGCGTCCTCAGCAGGAGAGCCTCAGGAGCGCAGGCTCAACAGGGAAGGACGCTGCACCTCCTGTGAGTCATTTGGCAGCTCAGCCAGCGAGAAACCGCCCTCGTCCTGAACTTTGAATCTCTGGATCAGGACAGCCCCTCCCAACTTCCTCCTCATAAAATAATGCTCTTCTGTGTTGGACCTGCCTGTGGCTTTGTCCTGGTTTCACATCCCAAATTGCAATTCTCTACACTTCCTGAATAAACCCATTTTGTTGGTAAGGTTACTGGTGGTTTTATTGTTTTAAGTGTTTATTTTTGAGAGAGAGAGAGTATGAGCAGGGGAGGAGCAGAGAGAGGGAGACACCGAATCACATAGGCTCCAGGCTCCAAGCTGTCAGCACAGAGCCTGACACGGGGCTTGAACCCATAAACCGAGAGATCATGACCTGAACTGAAGTCAGATGCTTAACTGAGTGAACCACCCAGGCGCTCTCTGGTGGTTTTATTTTTAAGCTCAGCATTAGTCTCCTTTTGCCACTGGTCCTTTTGGTGAGGCTGGGAAGGGGCACAGCCTGCCTTCCCTCCTGTCCCGGGGCCCCAGGACTTGAACCAATGGACATTTAGAAGTTCACTGAGGAGCTGTGCCCGATCAGGCAGCTCAAGTGAGGCTTCTGTTCACTGGACCTGGCGGGGTGGGGGTTGGGGGAGTGCAGAGGTCTGTCTCCAGACCCTGGGGGCTCGGCTTGCCAGTTCCCTGCGCTAGCCTGGCAGAGGGCGTGTCATGGGAGCCTTGCACACATGGCCCCTCTCGCATGTTCTCTGTAATTGGGTCTTCACACCTGTGTCGGCCCTGAGCTTAGTTCTGGTCCCATGCGCTGCGTTTCCAAAATGCCTGACCTCTGCATGTGGCAAAGGTGAGCCTTCTGGATCCTTCCCAGACAACCTGTTGGGTGGGTGAGAGGGTAACATGGTAAGTAAGGCCCTTCTAGCAAGTCTACCTCTCCGTGGGGGTGTCTTGTCTCTGCTGGGTCCAGGGAATTTCCAGAAGCTTCACTTACCTTAGTGTGGACCTCCGGGGACTCTGGATTTTGGCTGAGCAAAGAGGAAATGACCGAATCCTTCCTAGTTCCCTAGCTAGCCCGTTGACTCTTGAGTCCAAATGGAAGCCAATCTGAGATTGGTCCTGTGGAGTTCTTTCTGGAGAGCATGTCGTAAGTCCCAAAGGGTGAGTGAAGACAATTGCCAAAATGTCAACAGTGTTCTGGTGACAAGGCTGTGGAGCGTGGTAGCAGGATGAGAACGGAGCCATGATCCCCCAGAGGACCGTGGGGGACAGAATCGGCTGTGACCTCCTGGCACCCCTTGGAGCTGCCTACACTCCCTATGTGTTTTCACAGAACCACCAGAAGGTCCTTTGTCTTCTCGTTCTATACTTTGATACTCATTAATACATCTGATAAAAAAAATAAAAGCTACACGCAGTTTGTTGCGGCTGTTGCTGTTTCGCTGGCCAAGGTAACCCCGCACGTCCGCTCAGTCCAAGTGTCTGAGAATGTTCAGTTCAGTGCACGGCGACGGCATCCCTCCTTCCTGGCCAGGCACCTCCAGGACCTATTCCCACGTATGTCCCTGCTCTTCTCCGATACAAAACAGCAAATATTTCTGTTCACGCAGTGAGTTGAACCTTCCTACTTTCGCCTTGTAACTGGGTGCTTGGGGCCTGTTGGGGTCCGACTCTGCTTATAGGCCTAGAGACCAGAAGGCAAGATGGCCTTGGGGATGAGGACACCGGCTCCTTGCAGTTCTGCTGTGAACCTGACTGCTCTCGAGGGTAAAGTTTATCAGTTAAGAAAACAAGCCGACAAAACATTGGATCTGAAAACTTTTGTCTGGAAGTGCCACGCCTTCTCACCTTCCACTGGTCAAAGCAGGTCATGTGGCTGCCGCTAATTTCCAGGGGGGCCAGAGTGCAGCCCACTCAATGCCTCAAGGAGGAGCCAGGATGTTTTGTTTTGTTTTAATGTTTTTAACATTGGTATATATTTGTATGTGTGAGAGAGAGACAAAGCGTGAGCGGGGGAGGGGCAGAGAGAGGAGACACAGAACCCGAAGCAGCTCCAGGCTCCGAGCTGTCAGCACAGAGCCCAACACGGGGTTCGAACCCACGAACCGTGAGATCATGACCTGAGCTGGAGTCAGAAGCTTAACTGACTGAGCCACCCAGGTGCCCCAGGAAGAGCCAGGATGTTTCAAAGAACTCAATGCCTCCTGAGCAGATGCCACCTGCCACTGCCCCTGGCACCGATTTCTGCATCAATCAGGGGTTTGCTGCAAACTGCAGGTGACAACTCTGTTGATCTAAGCAGAAAGGGAATTTTATTAAGAGATTTAATCCAACTTGAAGATGTCAGCATAAAGCTGGCATTCCTTCTTTCGAAAAGTGCCAAAGCCGACTAGGAAAATAAACAGAACTATCTTAGCTGTAACTTGGAGGCATTGATGTCCCACCCATGTAGTAGGTGGGCAGAGAGCAAAATGAAGTGAGGAGGGGAGATCCTTGGTCGTAGATCTGTGGGGGGACTGAGAAGTCCCTTTCTCCAAGGTGCAAATACAGACCTTGTGCTCGTGAGAAGAATAGGCTGGGTAGTTCAGCAGCCAGAGCCTGTGTGGAAGTTTGGTTCTGGGAAGTGGAGTGTGATGTGGGAATGAGGCTCAGCAAGCCACACTTGGGGGAACGCGGTGTTGGGGCCTGGGGTGAGGGAGACGTTGCTTTGGGAACATTCCTACAGCCGCCTTTTCTCTCTGGCTCAGGCATATAAAAGCTACAGGTTACATGACCAATCCTGGGTAATAAGGAAAATCCTACTGCTCTGAAGTGAAGTCTTGTTTCATCCTGTTTCAGTGACGCTTGTGCAAATACCTATGCCAGAAAATCCCTGTTCTTAAATGAGTTTCGTAACGGGAATTAGCGTGAAGTCTGTAATAATATCACATGATACAAGGAAGGAAAGGAAAAGAAAAGCAATCACCTTTATAAAAGAAAGCCCAAAGTATAAAAATGACCTTATTGAGGAGTTAGTGAGTCAAGAGAAGGATTGAAAAATACCAGACAAAGGACGCCCGGCTGGCTCAGTGGGTGGAGTGTGCAACTCCTGATCTTGGGGTGCTGGGTTTGAGCCACACGCTGCACATAGAGATGACTTTAAATATCAGAGAAAAAGTGGCAGAGAAACAAGACATCACCGAAATAAAATTAGAAGCAGCGTATGGAAGAATAAACAGCCCTAAAATTTCACACACTGAGAGGCATAATAAAAGACAAGGAAATGAAATAGGACAAAGCCTTAAGAAGGTGCAAAAACAAATTCCAAAGAATTGAAAAAAACACATCAAAGAAAACCAACCAAAGTGAAAGGTCTTTCAAAACTATAAAGAGCGAAACAAACACAAAGAACTTCATAGGACCAAGAGTCAACATCGCCCCGGAACCGATAACCCGTCTGACTCCCATATCAAAGACGGAGAGTTTCCACTGGGACAACAAAGCGAGCCTGAACTCGGGAATGTGTATAAGAAACACACTTCGTGAAGATGTGATGCTGATCGGCTCACCGCCAAAAGGTTTGCAAGGAAACGATGTGAATGCAAAGAAAGAGAAGTTCCGGGCCGTGCGCCCGCGGTACCTGTCGCCGCTGACTTCGGGGACACGAGCCCTGGGTGAGAAAAAGAAAGGCCTCTTAGGACAACAAGCACATTGTCAGCAGAGACACAGCCGACGCCTGCACAATGGAGGGGACGCTTGAAACGCTGAAGTAACACAATTATCCGTTCAGGTCTGGTGCGCTTACCAAGAGCGGAAAATACAGCCTTTCAGATACTCCCGGGATGGTCACAATGACAGATGTCCACAAACGCTAATTCACTGTAAAATAAATCTCCATAAACTAAACAAAAGCACCGCAGGCAACACTAACAGTCTCAAATTACAGCAAAGAATAATTATACTAATACAAGAAAAAGCTGCTACCCCTCCAATAATTTCTTAAAAATCTCTTGACAGCTCCTGGGGAGAAACCAAGTGGATGGGGACATGAGCATGGCAGGCTGCAGCTGGCACAGTGCTCAGAGGGAGGAGCCAAGGTGACTACTTAGGGGAAGAAACAGAAGAAATAAAAATAAGTAAATCAGACATCCTGATCAATAAGGAAAAAGAAGAGCAAAATACAGGGAGACGGAGGAAATGATACAAATAAGAGGAGATAGGAGTTAGCAGTACGTCTATCGACTATTAAATTTATTTTTTTAAATGTATGTTTATTTTTGAGAGAGAGATAGTGAGATCCAGGGAGGGGCAGAGAGAGAGGGAGACACAGAATTCCAAACAGGCTCCAGGCTCTGAGCTCTGAGCTGTCAGCACAACCCAACGCAGGGCTTGAACTCCTGGACCGTGAGATCATGACCTGAGCCGAAGTCGGATGCTTAACCGACTGAGCTACCCGGGTGCCCCACATCTATCAACTATTAACAAAGGGAGAAGGAAAAGCAGAACAAGAAGAAAAAAAATGCAGACTAAGAAATGAAAAAGGGGAAACAGGCAAGGGGAGAGGAGAGATTGTAAAAACCACAATCAGGGGCCCCCTGGCTGCCTCAGTTAGGTGTCCTACTTTTGATTTCGTTTCAAGTCATGATCTCACGGTTTGTGAATTTGAGCCCAGCGTCAGGTTCTGTGCCGACAGCGTGGAGCCTGCTTGGGATTCTCTCTCTCTCCTTCTCCCTTGCCCCTCCCTGCTTGTGCATGCGCTCTCACAATAAAAAAAAAAAAAGTAACCAGCTACTTTGCCTAATTCTATGTAAATAGACTTGAAAATCTGAACCAAATAGATCATTTGCTAGGAAATATAATCTAGCAAAGCTGATTTGGGAAGGGGATAGAAGATTGAAGTGGACTGATTTTCATAAAGGGAATGGAGAAAACTTCCAAAGAGTTGTCCCTGCTATAGACAGATAACATCAGTGCAGAATTTTCATGGAATCTTACCCCCAAGTTTAAAAGAGCAGATCATTTCAGTTTGATTTAAACTGTTCAGAAAATCGAAAACATATTCCTTCTAAATCACTTCTATGAATTGAGCGTCACCCCAGTGGCGAAACGCCACAGCACAACTGAGAAGGTGACAGAGGAGCAGAACCCACAGAGCCTGCTGGTGAGGAGGCGCCTGAGTGTCCCCAGCACCTGGGGTCCTGGCCACGCAGCAGGTCACCACGGACCGGACCGTCTCCGAGCACCAGGTCCTGCTGGGGGCACCACGCCGAGATGTCTCATCTTTGCCTGCAGTCCCCGTATTCTGGAGGGGAAAGGACGCACTGTCCAGTGGTGTGGCACGGGGTGGGGGGGCACACTGAGGCACGGCTCCGGACACCGGTTGCGGTGCTGGGGAAGACCCCCCCACCCCCACCCCGGGCAGCAAGGAGAGGGAGAGGCCTGGAGAGCCAGGGGAGGGAGCTGTTGTGCCAGCCCGAGGAGGGGCGTCGAGGCAGAGCTGGGGTTGGGCAGAGTTTGCTTTGGTGAGACTCGGGTCCGGGTCTGCAGGCCAGAGGGGCAGGGGGTGGGCTGTGTGTGCTCAAAGGGCTTTCATATCCAGGGTGATTTGGCGCCCGGACCACCCCCCGCCCCCCCCCCCCCCCCCCCCCCCCCCCCCCCCCGGCCAGGAGACCACCAAGTGTGTGGCGGGGCCTGTGTCCTGAGGCCTGTGGGCGAGCACCTGGTGGCGGGACGTTGGTGGCAAGTAGGGCTGCTGAGTAAAGACGCCATTGAACAGAGCAGCCCCGGGCCGAGGGCGGGGCCAGGAGAGTGGTGGCCACGGTGGCAGCGCCTGAGACTGGTGAAGACGGGAGGGAGTCTCAAACCAGCAGAGGAGGAAGACGGCTTTGAGGAAACAGACCCCTGATTGAGGGATGAGGCACTTGTAAGCGTAGAGGAGGGCTCCCTGCCAGCTGGCCGCAGGCCACTCTCCTCCCTGCGTCCCTGGCGGACCCGGGTCTGTTCCACCTGCCACTGGGTACTGCCCGCCCCGGCCCCGCGGGCGCCGCTGCTGCTCCTGGCCCCGACCATGGTCCTGTCTGCCTCACGGTGCCGCGCGGGGATCCTGGGGCCCCCACCTCGGGCTGGGCTCCCCGGGGGCCTCACTGCTGTCGCCCCGGCCTGTGTCCATGGAGGCCCAGCCCTCTCAGGCTCTGCGCGCGAGGGGGGAGCCACCCAGCCAGAAACCGGGGGACGTGGGGCCGGAGTTGGGGGCGGCGGACAGCGTCCTCTACTTGTTCGTCATCAGTCAGTGGTAGAAAGTACAACACAGTTGATTTTTTAAATTGTAAGGATGAGGTTCATACAACATAAAATGAATTATTTTATTTTGTTTTATTTTGTAACTTTTGAAAGTTTATTTTAATTCTTTAAATTTTTTTTTATTTTTTTATTTTTTTTTAAATTTTTTTAAATATTTTATTTATTTCTAGGAGAGAGAGAGAGAGACAGCGTGAGCAGGGGAGGGTCAGAGAGAGAGGGAGACACAGACTCTGAAGCAGCCTCCGGGCTCTGAGCTGTCAGCACAGAGCCTGATGCAGGGCTCAAACTCTTGAATCATGAGATCATGACCTGAGCCGAAGTCAGATGCTTAACCGACTGAGCCACCCAGGTAACCCCAAAACAAATAATTTTAAAATGCATGATCCAAGGCGCCTGGGTGGCTCAGTTGCTTAAGCATCTGACTTTGGGTCTGGTCACGATCTCAGTTCATGAGTTCGAGAAGCCCTCCTTCTTTCTCTCTCCCTCTCTTTCTCTGCGCCTGTTGGGACTCTCTCTGTCTCTGCCTTCACTCACTTGCCCCACGCCAAAAGAAGTGTGTGATTCAGGGGCGTCTAGTCCATTCACACCATGGTGCTGCCACCCTCTTTATCTGGCCTCAGGACACCTTCGTCAGCCCCCAGGGAAGGTCCAGTATCCATCAGGCAGTCCCTCCCTATTTCCCCCTCCCTCCTGCCCCTGGCAACCTACCTGCGGTCATCTCCACAGATTTACCGATTCCAGATATTTTGTAGAAGTGGAGTTCTAGAGTACTGGCCTTTGTGTCTCACTCTTTCACTGAGCACAATTTTTGGAGATGCCTGCACCATAGCGTCAATCAGGATGGTGTTCCTTTTTCACGGCCGAATAATATTCAGTTGTGTGGCCGGGCCACATTTTGTTTGTTGGTGGACCACCCGTGGGCTGTTGTGAATCTGCTGCTGTGAACGCATGTGGACGTGGACTCATCACAGTGTCTGTTTCCAGCCCCTTTGGGTCTGTACCTGAGGCGTGGGATTGCGGGGTTCCGCGGTAATTCTGCTCTACATTTGGGGGGTACCACCGAGCTATTCTCCACAGCAGCTTTGCTGTTTTCCACTTGTTATTTTCCCTGTTTTTGATTCTAGCCATTCCAGTGGGTGTGAAGGGTCAGCTCACTGTGGCTCTGACCTGAGTTTCCTTGATGGCTAATGGCGTGGAGAACCTTTGTGCCTGCGCACTGGCTATTTGTATGACTTCTTTGGAGAAGGTGTCTCCTCAAGTCCCTTGCCCATTCTGAAGTCAGATGTCTTTTGTTGAGTGGTAAGAGTTCTTTATACAATCTACGGTGGCTCAGCCGGTTGGGTGTCTGACTTCCGCTCAGATCCTGATATCCCACAGTCCATGAGTTTGAGCCCCACGTCGGGCTCTGTGCTGACAGCTCAGAGCCTGGAGCTGCTTCTGATTCGGTGTCTCCTTCTCTCTCTGCCCCTCTCCAGCTTATGCTCTGTCTCTCTCTCTCAAAAATAAATGAAAACATTTTTAAAAATTTAAAAAAAAAAGAATTCTTTACACAACCTGGATTTTAGACTCCTATCAGATGCAACTTGTATTTTAAAATACTATTTTATATTTTATAAATAATAAAACAATTTTCTTTGCATGGTTTAAGCTCCTGTTTAGGCCACTGGCCAGTTTTGAGTTAAGTTTTGTATACGGGGGTGCCTGGGTGGCTCAGCTGGTTAAATGTCCAACCTCAGCTCAGGTCATGATCTCACAGTCTGTGGGTTCGAGCCCTGTGTTGGGCTCTGTGCTGACACCTCAGAGACTGGAGTGTGCTGGGAGTGTGTCTCCCTCTCTCTCTCTGCCCCTCCTCTGTTCATACTCTGTCCCTGTCTGTCTCAAAAATAAATAAACATTAAAAAAAATTTAGAAAGTACATAGGGTGCTGGTTCTGAGCATAATAAAATAAAAATAAACATAACAAAAAGGTAAATGAAAAAAAAGTTTTGTGTACGGAGTGAGGTAGGTATGACACTTGATTTTTCATTAAGCTTCTCCTGCTGCTGCGTGACTCTGACAAGGGCCCCCTGTGGGCCCAGCTCCGCTCCCCTGCCCTCAGCCGGATGCAGGCTGGGGCATGCCGTGGGGACGACTTGAGGAAGGGCCTTCTCTCCCATCCGAAGTGGCTGGCACCGAGCTGTGGGGCCCATCGGGTTGGGAGTGGCGGTGCGGCGTCTCCACCCTGCCCTGCCTGGTTCCCTCCCTCCCCCTGGGCCTGGGGTGGGGGGGGGTGGCGGAGGGGGGAGCCTGCACAGAAAGCCTGAGCGGGAGGATGGGGCCAGAGAGCCGGCTGCCCTCTGCCTCTCCCCTGCTGTTCAGTGGGCCGCGTTTAATCCCTGAGTGGGGCCCCCACACCCGGTGTCCCTGCACCCCAGGCGACACCCTCTCAGAGGCTTTCACTGAAACTCATCTTTATCCCCGTGTGTCAGAAATCTCTGGGACCTTTCCTCTGGAGAAAATGAGAAGACCCAGGAAGCGACCGAGCCCGCTGGGCTGCTTGGAGCTTGGGTAGGCCACGCGCCAGGAGCAAAGCAGCGCCCCACGATGGGACACAGGTGAGGAGAGGAGAGGCAGAGAGCTGGGGGGTGGGGGGGGAGGCTGGAGATGTGAGCGGGGACCAAGGCTCCCAGGGCTTGGAGACCGTAGTGCAGGCGGGCTTGGCCCTGAGCTCAGGGGAAACCGCCAGCTGGGCCCCTCCGCAACCTGAGCTGGGGACAGCTGGCCACCGGGACCTGGCTGAAAAGTTTGGTTTTTGTCGTGGGACTGCCCTCCGCTGGCCAACCCCTGCCAGGCCTGGTTCCTCCCACCCTGAAGGGACAGGTGGGGGTGGGCCCAGGCAGGAGCCGGACTTTGTTACCCGGATTGGTCTGGCTCTGAGCCCAAGGTCTGAGCTGCGCTTACAGCTACTGCCAAGGTGCTCTCCACCTGCTACCTGACCTGGCCTGGGGGTCCTTAGGAGCCATGGACCCCAGAAGTGAGTGGGCAGGAGTAAGGGCTCTGGGACCCGGGGGCGGGGGGGCGGCGATGGTTACCCAGATGGGGCTCTGACCGTCTCTGCCGGGCTTCCCTGCCGCACGGAGCTGGAGGTGGGGTGGGGGCGTGGGGGCGTGGGGTGCGGACAGCGGGGTGCCGCGGGAGCAGAGAGGGTCTCGGAGCTGCGTTTGCTGATGTGTGTGGGTGTGGGGGGAGCCTTGGGCAGGGAGGGTGGGGGTGCCCGGGGAAGTGCAGCAGCACTTAGTGCGGACCCCTGGGGGACACCTCTGGATTTGCCATGCAAATCTCCGTGCCCAGCCCTCCTGCCCAGGCCTCTCCTTTCTCTGCTGGTCCGGCCCCGGAGGTTAGTGTGGGTGGTCACTGAGGGGATTTCCTCCCTCTGTGAAGTCGGCCTGAAGTCGGCCTGTGGTGGACTCTGGGGAGCTCCGAGCTCAGACCCAGCCAGTGCTTGGGGTAGGGGTGCCGGGGCACCTGCTGGGGGACCAGGAGGAAGGAGACAGGGAGAGAAACAGAGGGAAAGAGGAAACAGGCCTGTGGGTGCAACCTGGGTCTCTGAAGTCGCTAATGCTGCCTGTAACCGGCCCAAGGTCACACTGAGGCAGGTGTCCAAGGACAGAGGGAAGGAGAGAAGGGAGGGGGGAGGAGGGCCCCGGCCCGGCCCAACCCCCACTCCAAGCCTCGCCAGGACGGTGGGGTCCGCCACGTATTTCCCCAGAGGGTGGTCTCTGCGTGTCTGGCTGAGAGAGGGAAGCTTCTGTCTGGCCCTTGGCCCTCTCTCCTCGCCGTCTCTGCCGCTGCCTGGAGACAAATCAACACAGCAACCCTGGCTCTTGCTTGTTAGGGACCGCAGGTCCCCAGCCTCCAGGGCTAAGTGTAGGTGGGGAAGCCCTGGCCATGCGGGCGGGTGGAGCGCGGGACCCAGGGAGCCCTCAGACCCCCGACACGGGGCACTGGTGTGCCCTTCCAGAGGCCCACCGACCTCGGTGGGCAGACCCACGGACTCGGAACTCCCGCCCGAGGCCACCGCATGCCCAGCCGCCTGACCCCAGTGACCAGGACAGACAGTGACCAGGACCTGATCCTTGCCTGTGCGCATCCCCTAACGCCCGAGACCTGACGCGGTTTATTCAGCTTCTCACTCCTGCCCTTTGCAAGGGCCTGGCACGCAGAGTGGCCTCAGCACAACTTCCAGACCTGCAGCCGAAAGCATATGCCCAAAGCTGGGACGTGAAAATGTGCTGTGTGGGTCCAGATCTCCCGGGTACCCGCCCCCGCGACAGCTGGGGCCGAACCCCAGGCCCTGCAATCAGCCCTTCTTCGACCAGAGGAGAAAGCCTCCCGGGGCCTCCAGGAAGGCTTCCGAGCCCCCGCTCAGCCCTCTGCCCTGAGAGCAGGGGGAAGTGGCCCTGGAGAGACTCTGGGAGGGTCCAGGGCGATCAGGGATCAGGACGCAGCCCTGAGACTGCAGGGGTGGGGGGCGGGGATGGCAGGGGGCCTGGGGGGGGCGGGGACGGCATGTGGGGGCTGGGGGGCCCCTGCCGGCGCTTGGGAGGAGGCGCAGAGTGGGAAGGGGCTTCTCCTGCCCCTCAGGGAGACAGGGCCCAGCGCCAGGAGGAGGGC